TCCGTACTGCTGCGGAAACATAATCCCACTTGACCAGGAAAATGCTTTCAATACCGGGACATTCAACAGAATCTCTGTCGCTGGATCTGTCAAGGTAGCAATTGGCACACGCACGCGCACACGCGCACGCGCACACGCACACGCACGCGCACACGCACACTCACACGCACAGAGAGAGAGAGAGAACGAGAGAGAGAGAGAACGAGAGAGAGAGAGAACGAGAGAGAGAGAGAACGAGAGAGAGAAAGAGAGAGAGAGAGAGAGAGAGAGAGAGAGAGAGAGAGAGAGAACGAGAACGAGAGAGAGAGAATGAGAGAGAGAGAACGAGGGAGAGAGAGAGAGAGAGAGAACGAGAGAGAGAGAGAACGAGAGAGAGAGAGAACGAGAGAGAGAGAGAACGAGAGAAGAGAGAGAGAGAGAGAGAGAGAGAGAGAGAGAGAGAGAGAGAGAGAGAGAGAGAGAGAGAGAGAGAGAGAGAGAGAGCGAGAGCGAGAGAGAGAGAGAGAGCGAGAGAGAGAGAGAGAGAGAGAGAGAGAAAGAAACGAGAACGAGAGAGAGAGAATGAGAGAGAGAGAACGAGGGAGAGAGAGAACGAGAGATAAGTAAGGTAATATAAGATAACAGTCGCAGCAGAACGCTTGTCCCAAACTCGCTTTCCTTTTCCCCCTTGCAGATCATAGAAATCCCCGAGGGTGACTCGCAGCCGCCCTCGCCCGTCCGCGACCTCAAGGTGTTACTCGGCTGCTGCAGCGGCCTTGATGATTCTTCCCACAACCTGATTCTTACCTGGACGGCGCCCGGGGATGATTTAGATGACGGCACAGGTAAGAGAGACAGACAGACAGAAAGAGAGAGAGAGAGAGAGAGAGAGAGAGAGAGAGAGAGAGAGAGAGAGAGAGAGAGATAGAGATAGAGAGAGAGAGAGAGAGAGAGAGAGAGAGAGAGAGAGAGAGAGAGAGAGAGAGAGAGAGAGAGAGAGAGAGAGAGAGAGAGAGAGAGAAGGGGGGGGGGTAGATAGAGGGTAGTCAGGAGGAAAGAAGGGAGGAATAGAGGGAGGGAGAGCAGGAGAGTGAGAGAAAGAAAGGTAGAAAGAGAGAGAGGGAGGGGAAAAGGAAGGGAGGATGGGAGGGAAGGAAAGAGAGGAGAGGAGGAGGGAGGAAAGGAAAGAGAGAGAGAGAGAGAGAGAGAGAGAGAGAGAGAGAGAGAGAGAGAGAGAGAGAGAGAGAGAGAGAGAGAGAGAGAGAGAGAGAGAGAGAGAGACGGTTGAGCATATTTTTACAGATGACCTGCCAGTCTTCATACTTTTTAAAAAATAATATGAAGAGCAGATCTTATTGGGAAAGAGAGAGAGGAGAGGAGAAGCAATCATAAACCTTTCGATTTTATGGGGTATATCATAGATAATACTTCCTTGACAAGCATTTATACAGGGAGTATGTCAGTGAGGCAAAAAGTGAATGCGACTGATGATATTGCATATAGAAATAAAATTAGTAATTTCAAACTGTTGCATCAAAATAAGAAATTAAATTTCTTTTTTCACTTGTTTTCAGTCTCGAGTTACGTGGTTCGTGTGAGCACCAGTGCATCTGATTTACAAGAAGACGCTTTTAATGACGCCCCTAATGACACCCTCGTGAACATCTCTGCCATGGACGGCATACTTGTCAAAGCTGGCGAAAAGGTGACAGTCAATGTGTCCCTCGACCTAGACCTTCGCCAGTCAAATTATTTTGCGCTGCGGGCCATCGACGATGCTGGATTAACAAGGTTTGTGATCTAGTCTAATTGCTAGTTGGCCTCATCTCTGTGTTAGACGTGAGCAGATACTTTGGTCATGAGTTGAGTAATCATGGAATGAAATGTGGTGTTTATTATTATTTAACATGATATGGAAGATAAAATTAATTTTTATGATATTTGATGTATTATAATAGTGATGATTGAAACTGCAGCTTCTATATTTTTAATGTTACTGAATGATCTTTTGCAGTATGGTCTCCAATATTGACATCCTTGGGTCAGAGCTTTTGGTGGCAGTGCCAGCCGTGTTGGTCATCCCAGTCTGGGCCATCGTGCTGATTGCTGCCGTCCTCTTACTGCTGGTTGTCGCTTCGTGCGTCGTGCTTTCGTCGCGGAACACTGGCAAATATGACTGTGTCGAAAGCTGAGATATGCCAAAGAGAGGATGTGGTCGTGCGTTTTATTTCATGTGATTTTGCATTGCATGGTTTTAGCCAGTGAATCTTCTCGACAAATATGATAGCTTAAAGTTATCTTAAAATGTATAGACTGTAATTTGACATGTGCTTTTAACCCTGTGGTAATTCAGGAGGCCTTCATGAATTCATGCTTCATTTTCAAGCATTTGTGTTGGCACTGTATCATACATGCATAAAGATATGGCTATCCCATACATATATTGTAGTAGTTATACTATACTGTATATAACAATTATAGTTAGAAAGTAACATAGATCTAATGTAACTTAATTCACTTTACTGATGCCACAGAACCATTAAGGTTCTCTGTATATTAAACAGTTGCTTTTGGAAAAGTTCTTTCAACCTGTCTGATTTACTTATTTGCATTTCACAGAGTGCTGCGTTCTTACAATCCGATGTGCTAATATGTGTACCTGAGAAAAATGGCAGAGGGGTTAAGTTCTAACGGAAAGCAAGATAGATAGAATTATATAGAAATATGTTCACTGCAGCAGTAAAAGTCACTGGTGGTTTTACATTGCCAAGAAAGTTTCGTAATCAAACCTCATTAATAATGTAATAAGAAGTTAAACTCGAAATCTTTTGTGTGTATACGGATATTTAACAACCAGTTACCAGAACAAGCAGCAAGAAATCAGAGAAGAGAAAGATCATAATGAAATCCTTCAAAAACAACAACAGTACTCTAATTCAGACAGATCCTGTAATAATTATGGTGCTTCCCTTCTGCTTTTATGCTGATTACAAAACAGAATTGGGTGACGCAGAACGTACATAGTGTCAGATGTACATTACTTAACATTCTCCTTAGGCAACTTCCACTATACTTATGTGACCGTTTTTCTTGCTTATTTTTTTTTCATCTCTAAATATCATTCGTTCACTCTTATCTCTCGTCCAACTAATTCTCCTTGTTTCATATAATCTCTTTTCTCATATACTTTTTTTTCCATTTCATTTTCTTTTCTCTTGTCGCGGAATTTGCTATTTAATTCCTCAAATGTCATCCAAAATATGAGATAACAGGATTAGATCGGTCTTGTCTCGGGTCGTGTATCCTACTTATTGTATGGAAGATATTATGTTCTAATAAAACAGACATGAAAATCTGTTGTTTTTATTTTCTAATCACTCTATTTTTTAATGAAGAATCTATAAAAATGTGATTCAAGATAATTATACACAATATTTGGAGAATCTGAGCAAATTACATAGATCATTTATTGTAAATACGAAGCATCCATTTAATGCTATCATTATCATCATCATCATCATCATCATCATCATCATCATAATAATAATAATAATGATTATTATTATTATCTATGTTCTACTTACACTGCAAGAACAAAATCAAAGCTATTTCTTTAAAATGAAATAACGGAAATTTGAAAGTATATAGTTTATCTAGATTCAGTGTACATTTCATAGTCTGTTAAATGTAAGGTTGCCTAAGCTAAGTGTCCAGTTAAGTGTGCGGCTTGTGGATCGGTAATAAATACACGATTTTTCTTATAACCATGCGGTTTTTGCCGATAATGAGTTAAAGCTTATGCACGTTTGGCAAGGAAACTTAACTACGCTATTTATTCAGTTGAAATTACGGTTTGAAACGATTGGTTGCAATGCAGTAGTTCCCAGAGGGGTTGTGAAGCCAAGGGAAAGAGTTATTGTTCATGTCTTCAAGGAATGCTGCATTACATTTAGGTAAGTAATGCTTGTACTGATTGAAGATTGAAAATACGTTGTTTGAAAAATTACAAAGGAAACTGCTGGTGTCGAACGTATCAGAAGTTTAAGAAAGGGTCGCAGGTGTAAAAAAGTTCCAGTGCTTCATTGCAATGAATTTGTTGTGGTTCACTTTGAACTCATCACTTATAAAAACTGCATGGTTGTGTTAAAAATATTGAAATAATTATAGACACAGAAGCCGCAAATTAACTTAAACCATACAATAAATATGAAACGACAACTCCATTCCTTTATTTGCCAAGCATACCGGCTCCTCATTCAAAGACAACTGTAGGACTCAGTGCATGTTTTCAACAATCTTTTTTATCACTTTTATGGCGGCCACGCTGCTTTTATTTCAATTTCATTGTTTTCAATACTGTAGACCTAAAAGAAAATTGATTAAATTCTGTATCATCAAATGCTTATATAATAAACTCGTACCAAGCCGGTCTATTTTGTTTACGCAAAAATAAAGAAAAAAGTGTGATTTACATATACATTACATATTTAACTTTAAACATACTACATAAATGTAGTATAAATATTTCATTATGAAAAATAATTAACAGTTATAATTCTCAAAGTCAGATTTTCCTAAATCGAATCCTTATTGCCTAAAATATATAAATAAACACACACACACAAACACACACACACACACATATATATGCATATATATGTGTGTGTGTATACATGTATATGCATATATATACATATACATACATACATGTGTATATATATAGATATAGACACACACACACACTCATATATATATATATATATATATATATATATATATATATATATATATATATATATATATATATATATATATATATATATATGTATATATATGAGTGTGTGTGTGTGTCTATATCTATATATATACACATGTATGTATGTATATGTATATATATGCATATACATGTACACACACACACACACACACACACATATATATATATATATATATATATATATATATATATATATATATATATATATATGTGTGTGTGTGTGTGTGTGTGTGTGTGTGTGTGTGTGTGTGTGTGTGTGTGTGTGTGTGTGTGTGTGTGTGTGTGTGTGTACACACACACACACACACACACACACACACACACACACACACACACACACACACACACACACACACACACACACACACACACACACACACACACACACACAGAGCAAAAGGCTTTACCAAGTCAAACGTTGGTTTGCATTTTTTTGTTTTCATTTTTCAATACGAGAGGGTTATGGGTTGGTATATTCAACCCTCGCAAATAAATCAAAATGATTCAAACTTAAAATCAATGCCACTGATTCTTTCTCAGCGGTGCTATACAGTAGTTTCTTTGATATGACAAAAGCAAACAGGATAACCAGAACCCTCGCATTATGACTTAATGCGAGGGTCGATTAGGCCACTCACACCCACAAAATCATAATAATTCTTTCCTGTTGGCTGGAGTGGGATAATTCACAATACTTTCCACCTTAGCATTAATTGGTTCGACACTTCCTTCCTCAACATAAGCTATATATTCTACCGTTGTTTTGGCAAATTCACTCTTCACTAAACATGCAGTTCAATTTGCTTGAATCAGTTTGTTAAATACTTTCTTGATTATAAATACACATGTTCTTCCCAAGTTTTTGATACAAGGTTATATCAGCCCTTCGCATTACACAGTACTTAGTCTCTGGAATGTAGTACCTCTGTGTGAAGATGTAGATAATCACAGTGAGGGTTGCCGGCACAGTTAAGACACCGTTTTACATGAGTGTGATTGCTTTGATGGATGTATATAAAAAGACATAATACTATTAAATCTTATTAACGAAGGTTAACATAATACACACACAAAGAATGAATTTTTATCGGCTATTTCGTTCACTCAGCTTTTCATTAAATCACTTCACTTTTTTTTCATTGTTCATTTACCGCGCACTTTACACTATCTTGACCAGCATCCAGTCTTCTCGCTGGTTCCTTCTTCAGAATAGTGCCGATAGTATAGCTTCTTATTATCAGCCAACAGTTCTTATATATATATTCAACTATAACAATTATCAGCAGCCGATATGACACTATAGTGGCCCACACCTCGGGACTACCACTATAACAGTCGTCACGGCCTCCTCTGCTGGAAAGACCTTCCCCCTTGCTTAGGCCTACCACTGCATACAGCTTTACCACAGTCAGCGGTGACGTCATGCCCGCGAACAATCGTTACACTAACTATTGCAGATTAGCAAATGAGATGGTATGACACTCTGTTTTTCATACAAAATTATAAGATAGCCACGAATGCTGAGATTTCTTTGGCTGTCTTAGTATGTGATACTACCTGGCATCCTTTTAATAAAGCTATTTAGTTACATATTTCGCATCTCCTACTTGATCAGTATGATCATCCAGCCTTAGTTACATCATTCACTTTCCGGTAATCTGTGCAAAATCTATATGAAATTCCATCAGATTTAGAACTATTAATCAATCCTTTTAATTGACTCATTATCAACATATACTGCATTGCATTCCTTATTATCCTTCACGTCATGCTGTAACATATCAGTTCGAAGAACATCATTAAACAGAGGCTTAAGCACATGTACCATTTGCATGACTGATTCCTCTTCTCATCTCCCAAAATGATCAAGTTTCTGTGCTAAATTATTTCATGCAATCAAATCACTCAAGAGCTTATTTTCGGACCATTCAAGTTTCAGATTTTCATTTTCATAATGTTAACATGGCACATACATACATACATACACGTCTTCATGGTGCCACAAACTGTTGGCAAAAGAGGCCTGATCACCCTTGTTAAAGCAACAATCCCCTGCTCCGCAATAGCCGATGCACTGCACTGTGGAGACGAGACAGAATCTCTCGCCGTAGAGATCCACCTGGCCTGGGGGCCCCTCAAATTGTACAACGTGTACAACCGGCCAGGCTGTAGTAGCTTAGATATCAGCCAGGTCTGTGCGTCTGCTGCACAAGACTGAGTGATCATTGGGGGAGACTTCAATGCACATCATCCCATCCTGGCTCCCTTCTGGGGACCGGATGCAGCTGGCCATCACATAGCCAACGTGCTTGAGACGTTCCCCGAGATCGCTCTCCTCAACACCCAAGAGCCAACGCATGTCAGAGGTGGGGTACTAGACCTCACCCTGGTCACTGCGACTCTGGTGGACAGGATCAACTGGTGTGTCGATGAGACTGTCACAAGCGACCATTACGGCATGGTTACCACACTCATGGACGCAGGCCCAGCCGAATTCCCACGACCAAATCCAAGATGGAAAACAGACAAGGCCAACTGGCAAGCGTTCCAGAACGCCTTGGCCCACTGTCTGAGAGGCAATGAATCCACACAAGCCGAAAATGTGGATGTGCTCGAAGCCAGACTGGTAGAAGCCATAACCCAAGCAGCCTCACTGACCATACCCAAAACTCGGCCTGGGTCCAGGTGTCACAAGGACGCCTGGTACTTTAACGACGAGATCAGGGAGGTCAACCACAGGGTAA